TAGCCAGAAAGAAGCACCGTGAGCGAGCTGGCCACCTTGCGTGCGTGCCGCGAGGTGTCCAAGTTGCCCACCTTGGCTCTACGTCACTGCCTTTATCCTACGGTGGGCCCTACGGACATACTTCTAACACCTCTCGAAAGCACTGCGTTTCACCCACACGTGTTATATACTGCATGGACACCCAGGCACACCGTGCTGCGCAAACCCCAGGGCACCTTTGGGATCTTCTCGGGGTCCCCGAGAATGGCTGGAGGCCAAACGAACCCCGCGTTGATCGGCGCTGCTGCCCCGTCAGTGCTCCGTTAGAAAAGTCCGGCAGTTTTTTTACTCCTCTCCCCTAGGTTTCAGGCAGCAAGCACACAGTCCTTTACTGATGAGCAGCTATTCAGTGTATTTTCTCTTTCTTTCCTGAGTATGATTCATATACTGCCTAAAAAATAGTTTTGTTCCAAGTTTGTCCTGGGGTACTCGTTATTACAGTATCCACATCTTCATTGTTTTCTGAACACAATAACTCCATTTCACAAATACAAAAAGCAAAGGCTGGGGGACACTAAGCCCAAAGTGAAACAAACACAGAAACCCCACAGAGGTTTCCACTGACTTCAATTCCAAAATTAACAAACACGTATAAAAATAGTTTTCAAGGCAGCATTCAACTGCCCCACTGTCACCCTCCACCTTTTTGCAACACTTTGCCTCATTTACTCTAAACCCAACTTCCATAGCACGTCAGCGGGCCGTCCTAGAGACAAAATTAGATCATGATTCACATTTCATCGAGGCTCCTCAGTCAGTTTAGTGCACGTCCATGCTGTGCAACAAACACCACCAGGATCTGGGAAATGGGAAACGAAGGAAGAAAAAAAAAAAAAAAAAAAAAAAAAAAAAAAAAAAAAATCTCATTTTGGGTTCTCTTTGCACTGGTATCAGTCCCTAGCAGAAAACAAGATGACAGAAAAAGCAGGCTCAGGGTCCTCTGCTCTGGGGCTCAGTCAAGCACAGACAAACCTAACTTACAGCTGCAATTGCAAAGAGATTTTTGATCAGTCCTGGACTAAACCCGTCTCACTGTGAAGGAATTTCAGAGATTTTAATTACAAAGTTCTCACTTGCGTTTAATAAGCACATCAAAATAAAATTCTCAAAGGTCTGTTATTTGATTTTATTTGGCCAAATTTTCACAGGAGTGGCATCTGTGCAAACACTGATACACAGGCAACTGCCCTAAAACGTAAAGTTTCTGTTGTAAATCTTTTAAGTATGTAGTGGGTTTGGGGAGAAAAAACAGAAAACCAGCATATTTATCACAGAAAAAAATTTTACTGCTCATAGTTGTTCACAAAAACAGCCTATTTGCACTGGAGTTTCACGCACAGCAAAAATTTGAGACAGGCACTGAACATGGAGAAACTCCAACCCAATGTTCCAAATCTGGCAATATTGTAGGTAAGTGAACCTTTAGTATGTCCTAATCGGATATGTCAGGCAAATGTTTGTGATAACAGCATTATATAATATTTAGATTCATCTCTTGTTTTTGTAGAGCTTATTCACAATTATCAGTCTGTTGAAAAATATTATTATTATTTCATCTAAGGGAAAACTCTGCCAAAGCCAATAATTATAACCTCCATCATGCATAATGCTAGAAGAACATAAAGTCTGCACTAATTAAGTTTATGGAGTTATGGGGAGGCTTAAAGAAAAGACAAAACAAGACGGAGTTTGAAAGTGAAAAGAGCCACATGGCACAGAGAATATTTCAAGAAAAGGTCATTTTGAGAGGAAACCTATAGATACACAGGATACAAAAATAGCACTAAGCAAAACAAAATTGTCAGAGCTGTGACAGGTGACAAAACCAAGTTCATGAATGCAAGAATTGGAAAGCTAGAGGAACAGTCTGTAGAGAGCATCTCCAGCTCTATAACAAAAATATAAAGAAGTCACACAAATATATAACACTAGCTGAATTTAATAGTATTTCATATCTTCGACATAAAGACCAAAAAGAAAGTCAGCTATAGCTAATTTAGAAAGATATGGGAAAAATTACAGAATAAGGTTTTTGTCTTGTTACTGCAACACAAACACGTATACACTGAAATCTAAGTTTGCAAGCAAACAAATTGTTTGCCTGAAAGGAGCGGTTACATTAAAAACCCTACAAAGCTATATAAATTGATCTTGATAAAGAACAATCAATTATTCTGCAAAATTTACAGTTATAAATGCTGAAATAATATGAATGTTTTCATTAATCCTCTTTATACTCTTCAGAAGTAAAATATTTCATTTTCATGTAAATAGCTGAAAGATGGTCTGAACTGTGCTGCAAATGGTTTTATGCAGTAGAAAATGATAATAACATGGGTTTGTTGGGGGTTTTTTCCAGAATTTATACTGAGAAACAAACCAACTATAATATATACCAAATTCTGCACAGATTTGCATGCCACTTTAAATGAGATTTAGAGAGCTCTTGGAGAAGAATCTATTTCATGACAAGATTCCCTCCCTGTATTACTGAAAGCATTTATGTGGTGGGGCATTCACAATCAACCGATATCCCAATCTTACCACAAAATTAATGCCGCACTTATCTAACCAACTGCTTTTTGCTAGCTGAACTGCAAACAGGAATGTGTTATCAAGTTGACGATGTCGTTCTTTCATTAACAAGGACGGATATTAGATTAATCAGTAGGCTTGTAGCATGCTTCTGCACTAACAGGATACCCAACACAGCTGTATCCTGAAAATTCAGTATTCATAGGTGTAGTTCTAGCATAGAGCTGAAATTTTAAAAATTATCTTCTTCAATTTGGAATGTCTTTTTTCTGCTTAACAACATGGAGGTGGGGAAGATATACTTTTTTTAATTTGAACTCTTACCAAATGTATTTCTCTCTCCTCCACTATCAGAAAGTTAATCCAAATCACTGAAATGCTGACGCTTTTGTTCAGAACATATTTAACAGTTAAACTAGGCACAGCCAGATGCAAAAAAAGACCTTACACCCTTCCCACACCCCTTTCTAGGGCTTCACTGGAAGTCCTTATAGGCAGACTCTTCAGCTCTTCAAAAAACCAAAGCACAAAAATATCCCAAACTTCTCTTAGCATCTTTGATTCCCTCTCCCCCCACCCTAAGAGGAAAATAAAATCCAGCTAAATCAGCAGATGGTATTAGGTGGTATTACATGTGCTGTAGCACTGAAGTCCACCAGAATTTCCCATAACTTCTGTTATTCCAGCTTACTTGGAGAATTTCCTCTGAAATGACTTCAGGTGTTCTGTACTGTACGCTTGCACGCATTCAAGGTGGGGTGCCACTTGCCGTAAGCTAGACAGGGGTAGTAGTAACAAAAGTTTAAAAATCTCTTTTTAGATGAGCTACACTGGGAGCGTGAGGCCTGAAAAAGTAGACCTAACTTCTCTAGTGGTTTATGCCAAACAAGCAATAGCAGAAATAACACAGAAAACATACTTAATACTTATTAGAAGTGAACTGATGTCCAGGAACAATAACCTCATATTTATGGAGCACTGAAGTAGCGAAGGTAGTCAGCACGAATCCCAAGAAACCTCAGTGGAGAGGGGAAAGGGCAATCTCTCAAGTGCCCCAACAGATGCATTCACACACAATCTTCACCTCAATCATGAACTGTTAGACTTAAAATATCAAGCAAAAGGTAGGGAAGAAATAAATTAACTGCAGTGTCTAAACCCTTTTCACTTTACCCTATGCCCTAAGTTCATCCTTTGATAGGCGGGTGCCACACTGCAGCGTAAGGCACAAGACAGGACGAACAGTCTCGGTGCAGAACTCGGCCACAAGCTGCTGTACAAACGCAACTGAAACCATGACGTTTCAGGGTATTTTAAGTGGCCTAGATTCGGTTTCGAGTTATCAGACAGAACTAACCTTTTCCTGAAGTTTATAATGTGGTTCCTTTGTTTTATAAGGTAAACTTGAAACGATCTGTAGCACACGCTATTGAAATAAGGGTTGTCATTTCATCTTTGTTATGTTACTTAATTGCTGGCAGGATTTTGTAGCCGACAGTGTTTAGAATTCAGGAGGCGTACTTCAGAGCTTCAGTATATTTTTTTTGAATGCAAGCTTATATTTAAATGAGTGTTTCCCTTATTTCTATTAAATTTTAGTAGAAATGGAACAAGCAAGTACACACTAGCTACTACTGAAACAGGTTCTTTCCACTTTACCGATTTTACCTAAAGATACAGTCAGCTAAGTAAATGGATCTACATCATGAGATGTTTGTCTCACCAGTCATTTACAGTGGGGGCCAAGTAGATTTTATGTTGTTATCCTCATTACAGGGCTAAGTTTAGATGCTGCCAGCATATGCTAAAAGGTTGCACTGTAAAAGAGAATTGTTAATTTTTTTTTTTTTTTTCCCACATGTATATGAGTATATACATACGACAGTAGCTTGGTGAAACTAACCTAACTCATGGTAAAACTTGCAAGAAACAGCTAAGGTACAGAAATTGCCATGACAGCCCAGTTGCTTATGGCCAGCCCATCAGCTTTTCTCAAAAGCACAAGGCTGCAGGTGCCCAGCTGCCACCCAAACCTCCCAGACCACGTGGGCAGGAGGAAGAACTGAGCCTGGAAGCCCTCTGAAAGAGCATTTCTCTACAGAGATGAGGGAAAAAGTAGTATTTCTAGTTTTCAGTCACATCACAGCACTTCTACCATAATCCTCAAGGCCCTCCTAAACAGCAGGAAGAAGTTTGCACAATCCCATTCCTATTTCTCTTTTGCAATATGTCCTTTTTTTGACCTTCCTGCCCCCCCCCACCCCTTCACTTTTGATGTAAGAAATGTGGAGGTCTGATTTAAACATTTATTTTGTATTTGAATTTCATAAATTAAGCACTTGTATTTTGGTGTCAGACATTGGCTTAATTGAAATCTTTCTATCATGATGATTAGTAACTAATTGCTTTTTTCTTCCCATTTTTAGCGTGGAATTGGATTTTAAACAGCAAGAAGATAAACTACAGCCAGTTTTGAGAAAACTTCATCCTATTGAGGAAACTCAGGTTGCACCTTTGCCTTATTCTCAGGAGAGCTACTCCTCAACTCCCAAGCAAAAATCCAAAACTGAATCAAAAAAGCATGGAAGATGGAAACTCTGGTTCCTTTAACCCAAGTCCATTACATGTGGAGTTCAAGGCCTTCTTTGAAAAATATTTGGAGTTCTATCAATCGTCTATAACAGGATCTTGGTAGACTGATCAGTGTTACCGGCCAATGTAGTTCTGACCATTCTGGCAGCGTTCAGTTCTCACCGTATGTACCAAAAAGGCCTTTGTACCTATAAACTAATGTCCAGAAGCAAGGCGTTAGATAATACCTTGCCAACTTCTATTTGCAGTTCACCAATGTGGGATGTAAAACCTGAATTGAAATTTGTACAAAGATGGAAAGTAAAACTATTCCCCCACCCCACCCCCCCTTAGATCTGAAAGCGTCACATTCTAACCTGTTCAACTGTAGGCTGTCATCCTGTACACAGCTAAATATCACTATTGTTTTAAAGCCTTTGGGGGGTTTGGTTTATTGTCTTTAAACAACAACGAGGGGAAAAAAAAAAAGCAAGCAAGCCTTATGTTTGCAATGGTCTTCAGTTTTACAAATCCATGTTGATCGGGGAGTGCAGTTTTCAGCACATATATCCTGGACAAAGCACAATTTTTCATGTGGTCCAAGACCAAGAATAATCTCTAAGATGTGACTATATGTATATTTGCCTTCATGCAATGTAGACTTCAAAGCTATCAAATTTCGACACCGCACCATGATTTCTAATTTAGCTGTGTCCTCATCACCAGACGAACAAGTTTGCTGCTCATCTCCAACGGGTGAGCGGCTAGAAACCTCCCAAAGTCAGGACAAGCCTTTAACCACATCAAGCTGACAGGGTCAAGGCTACGGGACAATCATCTGTCCTAGATCTCACTTTTAGTCTTTTGGTACCCAAAAGGTCTAAATGACACATTCTGGCACAGAAAAAAAACCCAACCCCACAAACAGAACAATCATAAGCTCTACGGATTGTTGATATTTGCCATAATTTAGTATCTTTTTGTAACACAGTCTTTGGAAAACCTCTACACTATTGCAGAAGGCACCAGAAAATTTGTAGTATGCATCATGCTTTGAAACCTGTTTGGAAGGAGCAGTAATTTTAAATGCTATTTATTTACTAAGCTTCTCGATGAGTTTCTCAACTTATTATAATTTATATCTCAATCTATTAATTGTACTTGCTAACCAACACACTTAGGGAAGAGATGTGAAACAATTTTTTCCTAGTTTTTTGTTGTGGTTTTTTTTTTTCTAAATGACACTTAAAATTCTGCTCTGAATTATGAACTGCAACTTTTTCCTTTTAAGTATTTGCTACTGTCATTAAACTTGCATCTAGAATGACCGTTTGTGGAAAAATTTCTCATGCTAGAACTGGCCAGGGAGTGGGAATCTTGTTGTCTTCTTTTTATTAAGGATTTAAGATAATTTGAGTCATACCGTGTCATGTGACAAACTGGTTTACTAAGAATTGGTTTTGAAATTGCATACCCTGCAGCATCAGTAAGACACAAATTCTTCAGTCTTTAGGTGGAAGAAATGTAAACATTAGCAGAAGAGTTTGCACATACTAAAAAATTTGAAGTGTTTTCGTTTACACTATTTTTCCTCTTAGCTCAGCATCACATCCATTACTGCAAGAAAACTTGAGGAAAATAACTTATTTTTATCCCCCCAAAGCAAAGAGCAAGAAAAGGAAGTTAAAATGGGAACAGAAATGCAGGAGATGTCTATGTCCAGCTCAAAATTAATTTCAGCATGCTTTAATGGAAAAAAAGTCACCTTTGCAGTAAACCTTCCAAGAGGGCTACGAGTTCTTGTACATAAGCAAACAATATCCTGAAATACTTCTGTGAAAGGTGAAGAATTAGAAAAGGTGATCCTGTATACCAGGAAGGAAGTGCAATTGTTTCATGTGGAAAAAATGCATTTCATGTATTTTATATTGTTTTTAACTGAAAATATAAAACTGTTTACAAGACAGCCCACCCGACATGTTTTAGAAACCCAAATACTTCCAAACCAGAAAATACTTTTTTTTTTCCCTAACCAGAAAGAAATATCAAATAAGGACCTACCAAGAAAAATACAACAGTATTCAGCATTATTTTAAAATAGTGTTAATAATTAACTCATCCATGCTAACATGCCTAGTGTTTGGGGGTTTTTTAAAAGAAATTAAATTAAGCATCTCTCAATGGCAATCAATTACAAATCGTTAGTGTCACCGAATCAGTAGCTTTTCCCATAAACCTGTTCTAAACGTTCTTGTGTGCAGGGACTCTGACACAAAACTGAACTGTTTTTATGTGCGGTTACTGACTCAGACAGAGACCAGTCTTCTGTAATCATTTGAAATGACAGAGGAAAATTCACTGGTGAAACATATAAGAGCTAAAAGTGAGAGTTCTCACGGCGTGTTCTGTACATGTCCAGGCTATTTTCTTAAGAAGTTGCAAATTTTTAATTTTTTACATTTTTTTAAAACTGGAAAAGCTAACATACATATAGTCTTGCTTAAAATTACATATCGTGTTATATCGTACCATACAATGTAATTTGTAATAAAATGTTTTTGCAAGTGTGTAAAATGTATCATATTGTATTACATTTAGAATCACTCAGGCTCAGGTTAGATAGACACTGAGAGAAAAACCTAATTCTTTAGAGCTTTTAGTTGAATGTGACTGACAAAGCTATTTTCACCCTAATGTAGAAGATCTTATAAAATGCAGGTATGAGGATAATAACAAAGAAAATGCATCTTTACTTTCAATGTGGCACATAACGTAGCTTTGCTGAATTCACTCTGACAATACCATGCACTTTCATACACTAATTTGCTATATGCACTTCTCCCATATCATGCTTAAAAATACTTTTTAGTCAATAAATACTGCAGTGATTTTATATTACTTGCTATTTTCTGAGTCCGTATAATTTCCATTAAGCAACAGTTAGATTCTTTGTTTTAGAACTATTAGGAAACACTATTCATGTGAGTATCACTTGTTTTCTTAAAAGAAAAAAGTCACTGTAAAAATAGTTTAAAAATCAGGATAAACTGAAAAAAAAAATCATGATTAAAACTGAAAAATCCTACCATTGGTACAAAGTGTTTGCTTTTTCTTGCTTAAGATGCAAAACCACTGTCGATGCCTTTAATTTCACTCTACGTTTTAAAGGTTAATTATTTTTTCAAAATCAAATAGGTTCATTTTTCGTGAACACTTTCAAATCAAGTACTCTGTTAGATTATACCACTTCTTTAGTATCTGTATAATAGCACGAATTATATATTACTACTGGAATTTGTTAACTGGATTGCCACTAAAAATATGACTGCTATACCGACAAAATTCTGTTCTAGTAGAATGAAACAGACTGCATGGAAAGATTTTTAGTATTATTTCAGCATCCATAAAATACAACTGTGGCTTATTAAAATAATTGGAGTGCTAGAAATTTGCTGTCAATTTGTTTAGGTGAATGCAGTTTGTCCCAATAAACATTGCTAGGACATACTCCATACCCATTCGCTGCAGCAGTGATACTGCATTTTACAACATAAAAAAAGCAAAGTATTAGTGATGGAACAAAATCATGCCCATCATTCTAAACACCACTTCAGTTGTTCTGAATTTATTTTGCAATACATAATTTCAAATGTTTTTGAAAGATAAGAAGACATGCAATTCAATAAAACATACTGTAGTTTTTTTACATGGTAGAAGTCCGGTGAAGACAATAAAGCTTTCTCCCCAACATTTTGGAACCCATTAATCCTAACTTGACAGATTTTAAGGCACAGAAAGATGATTTACATCTAGCTTCAACTCCTAAATCACTTTTAGCCCCAGAACTCTCTCCTGTGACCCTCAATAACTCATATCTTACTTAGACTTAGACTCGTATTTTACTGCCTTCCAGAAGGGCATCCTGCCTTGACGATGCCAAGAGATGGAGAATCCACCACTGTCTTTGACTGATCGATTATTCCAGCGTTCACTTCCCACACCAGCGCATATCCTCTGCTCTACTTCAGCCTTCTCGCTCTCCCGTGCGGTCACCAGCTCCTCCTCTTCCCTTTGACAGGTGTCGTCTTCACCCTACATAGATTCTCCTTCACTACCACCGAGGGGCACCTCTAAATCTTCTTTGTTAACCTCAGACGGCTTTCACATCTCGCACCACAAATCACTGACTCTCTCCACTTTCTGGCGATTTCCGCAGCATTTCTCTTTTGGTTTCACCACATCCTTGTTCTAAAGCGTAGCGGGGGGGCAAAAACTGACGTGGGAAACGCTCCACTCAACAGTGAAGTCATAAAAGTCCTCTCCCATCCACTGCCTCCTAGTCACACATCCCAGGAGAATCTAAAATAGCATTTTTTCCCTGATCACAGCAGGTGTTCACACTGACTTTGTTCACTATATTTCAGAGCCACTGCTCTTAAGGACAGAGTCTCTTAGGAGTACAGCCACTTCCTATACTCTTTGCTCTTATATCTGTGAGCTAGATTTTTTTCTGTATCAAAATGAATTTGATTTCTTCCACCGTATAAAGGAATCAAGCTTGTCTATTTCACAGATGATCATCGCACAGTTGCACAAATCTGCCAACTGAAGTATCTTCCAAAAATTGTACACAGAGGGATCCAAAAACCCCATCTGGATGTCCTTTCTGAAATTAAAGAGTTCAGCAACCAGCTTGTTTTTCTTGGCTTTCTAAATGAGAAACATACCAAGCGGCTGACCACAAGGAAGTGGGGAGTAGTCATGATGTCATTTTGGACCTACCATCGTGGCCAGTCAATTCTGATTTACTGAAGGAGGCCAATACGCTGACTCACATGGAACACAACATTGTTCAAAAGTTACTAGGCAAGGAAAGAGATGGTTTAAAATTATCCTTCAAAAAAGAAAAGGAAGCATGCTCAATTTACTTTTTTTTTTTTCAGATAACATGTTCTTCAGTATGAGAGATTTTGTGGTCTTGTTATAGGTGACTTCGTACTGCATCACAAGCAGGACTAGCTCTAGGCGCATGCAGAAGTAGCCCAAAGCAGCTAAATTCTGTGAGCAGCAATGAACCCCGACCCTGGATCAGACAACTCAGCACCCACAGGCTGCAGCTAGTTCTTAACTTCAACTACAATAACACACACAGAACCTTCTACTCAGTCAGCAAACAGACCAAGTAAAAATCACCGTGAGATTTCCAGAGGAAAAAGTAGCCCAAAATAATGAGAATTAAAATGGTGACAAGACATTTTTATTGCATGTTAAAAAGCCGTTTGATATGGCCGACTGGAAACTAATGCTAATTTCCAAGTATATAAATTCACTGCTTTCACTGAAACAACCTAAGTGGCCAGTCTGTACTTAATCTTATTTAATACAGACACCAGTGAAACTGAGGGTTTGGGTGGGTTTTTTTTTTTACAAGTTCTGGAGGCTAGAAGAAAGTGTGCAGTGTCACAAATGTTAACTTCAATTCATCTTGCTACCAACTTCTACAAAAATTATGGTCAAATCAGATTTTAATCTATCACTTATACTCTGTTTTATTTATTGTCTAGTTTTTCTTCTTACAACTCATCTGTCTTATTTTGAGATAATTCTCTTTGGAAGGTATATGATAAAAATAGCTTACGATTTTTATCTAGAAACTCACACATTTAAGGAAGCAAAAACACACACAAAAAAAAAAAAAAAGCTGTGCAAAGTCAAAACAGACTATTGGGGAATCTTTCCAGTCTGTTCCACACTGTAGATAAGGCACCTCCTGTAATTAAACACAGTTAACTGGCAATTTAAGGTTTAACAGACAGAAGCTTTGCCACAGATGCAAGATGCAGCCTTGAAGAATACTGAAGACCAAAAAAACATTAAAAGGTCATATCCAATACCTCCCATATTTAGATGGGGACACGGCAGGCATCAGGTAAGAGTTACCAAAATCTTTTCTTATTTCCTGGATTAAGGTGGAGTGTTTGTGCCACAGTGAAACAAACAGACCTGAACAGATTACTGCGCTGGTCCCGCCACCGCCGTAGGCTGCAGGCTGGTCCCTTGCCTTACCCTGAAGGTCAGGGTTTTGGTCACGTAGGCAGTACAACTCACCCATCTTTTGTCAATGTTGTTCCAAAGGAAACTGACCCAGTAACAGTCATTCATACAGACATACAGAACCCTATCCATAGGTTATAAAGTACAGAAAGTAATTTGAATTATTTATGATATCTTTAATAGCCTCTAAATGCATATCCTCCTGAAACAGTAAATTTAGTGTCTTATGTTCCCATTACATTAGCATATCTAGCAACCTCACTTTCTACTCAAGACTTTTGTTCACTAACGTAAAATCACATTATGTTTAAGCATTCCACTTCCGCCACCGCGGTTCCAAGATAACTGCATTTTCACTTGACCACTTAAATTCTTTACAGTCCTCTGCTGATCACGTAGAACTCCGGCCTCTCAGAAACACCAGCTCTCACTGACTTATCATACAGTCAAAAACAACGTGTGTAAGTCACGCAAGCCTCAAACGCGGAAGGGTATATACAAAGAATATTATTAAAATGTAAATTAAACAATTTCTACAAAACAATTGTCTTTGATGTTTACCCCTATAGATCCCAAAGTTCATGCATCCCAAATGCCACAGTAGTTCCACCACGGTGATTAGGCCAGAGGTTTATAAAGAATGTGAAATTAAATGAACTTGATTGACTCTGCAAGGGGATTAGGAATCTATGTTTCTGTATTGCCACAGAAGTCTTGTCTCCGACAAGAATGACCGCGTCTTCCATTTGTTTGAGCTACTCAAAACACGATCCTCAGAGGAACGCTTCCAGAATGAAGCTAACAGCTGATAAATCTTAATGGATGTATAGTTCACATCTACAGGAATAAATGCCAGTTTCTCAGTATTTTTGATGCAAGGTATTTTTTTTATATTTCAAGCGTATTATGCAACATTAGGTTTTGGATGAAGATGACACAGCTAAGTATTTCTTCAAGGTGAAAACATGCCAGCTTTAGTACACCAATATAGCTATCTTTATATAAGAAACAAATTGCTATGTTCTGTAGTTTACTTCATTTGAAAAAGTTCTTGTTACTTAAATTATGCCTCTATAAGATCCTTTATTTTTAAAATTCCTTCCTTCTACGCATGCTTTATGGTTAATCTTCTAATATAAGTTCCAGGTAAAGCCATACTAGTATTGACAAAAGAAAAGTTAATACATAATTTCAACCTGATTCTGATCCAAGAGAAGTCAGGTTATGCTTGCTAATTATCACTTGCATTTTACTCTTCCTACTTTGCTGATGCCACAAAAATGAATTATTACTGGTTGATTACAGGAACATGCTTTCCACCACGCACTACATTTTAAGATAGGAGTAAGTACTCCTTGAAAATAGCCCATCCTATTAATACTCATTACATAATGATAGAGTGTGAGGATAGAGTGATTTCAAGCTGTATTCATGATCACTATGGATATTTTTAATACAACTGTACTTAGTTAAAATATATACAGGAGAAGTGTTCAAATATAATTTGATAAACGCAAAAGGAATAATTAACATTTTAAAATATCAACTAAATCATGTTCATCAAAATAATAATTAATTC